TATCTCTTTCCCACATGTCCCTACGGTGTGAGGTATCTGCTATCATAGCAGGTCAATTAAACTTGGCCATTACTAATTATATATATGTCAATGGGCCATCATCACACTATCTTCTGTGCCATAAAGTTTCAGACCAATTGGAAGAGGCCATGGTATGCAAACATACAGGAAGGCTACTATCAAAGTACACTCAAATGTGGAATATATTGCCTGTCCTACACATGTTCATATGTGTTACACGCCATGTCTATAGATACAGTTGAAGTCGGAAGTTTACATACACTTAGGTTGGAGTCATTAAAACTCGTTTTTCAACCACTCCACAAATGTCCTTGTTAACAAACTATAGTTTTGTCAAGTCGGTTAGGACATCTACTTTGTGCATGACACAAGTAATTTTTCCAACAATTGTTTATAGACAGATTATTTCACTTATAATTCACTGTTTCACAATTCTAGTGGGTCAGAAGTTTACATACACTAAGTTGACTGTGCCTTTAAACAGCTTGGAAAATTCCAGAAAATGATGTCATGGCTTTAGAAGCTTCTGATAGGCTAATTGACATAATTTGAGTCAATTAGAGGTGTACCTGTGGATGCATTTCAAGGCCTACCTTCAAACTCAGTGCCTCTTTGCTTAACATCATGGGAAAATCAAAAGAAATCAGCCAAGACCTCAGAATTTTTTTTGTAGACCTCCACAAGTCTGGTTCATCCTGAAGGTACCACGCTCATCTGTACAAACAATAGTACGCAAGTATAAACACCACGGGACCATGCAGCCGTCATACCGCTCAGGAAGGAGACGCGTTCTGTCTCCTAGAGATTAATGTACTTTGGTGCGAAAAGTGAAAATCAATCCCAGAACAACAGCAAAGGACCTTGTGAAGATGCTGGAGGAAACAGGTACAAAAGTATATATATCCACAGTAAAACGAGTCCTATATCGACATAACCTGAAAGGCCGCTCAGCAAGGAAGAAGCCACTGCTCCAAAACCGCCATAAAAAAGCCAGACTACGGTTTGCAACTGCACATGGGGACAAAGATCGTACTTTTTGGAGAAATGTCCTTCGGTCTGATGAAACAAAAATAGAACTGTTTGGCCATAATGACCATCGTTATGTTTGGAGGAAAAAGGGGGTGCTTGCAAGCCGAAGAACACCATCCCAACCGTGAAGCACGGGGTTGGCAGCATCATGCTGTGGGGGTGCTTTGCTGCAGGAGGGTCTGGTGCACTTCACAAAATAGATGGCATCATGAGGAAGGAAAATTATGTGGATATATTGAAGCAACATCTCAAGACATCAGTCAGGAAGTTAAAGCTTGGTCGCAAATGGGTCTTCCAAATGGACAATGACCCCAAGGATACTTCCAAAGTTGTGGCAAAATGGCTTAAGGACAACAAAGTGAAGGTATTGGAGTGGCCATCACAAAGCCCTGACCTCAATCCTATAGCACATTTGTGGGCAGAACTGAAAAAGCGTGTGCGAGCAAGGAGGCTTACTAACTTGATTCAGTTACACCAGCTCTGTCAGGAGGAATGGGCCAAAATTCACCCAACTTATTGTGGGAAGCTTGTGGAAGGCTACCCGAAACATTTGACCCAAGTTAAACAATTTAAAGGCAATGCTACCAAATACTAATTGAGTGTATGTAAACTTCTGACCCACTGGGAATGTGATGAAAGAAATAAAAGCTGAAATAAATCAATCATTCTCTCTACTATTATTCTGACATTTTACATTATTAAAATAAAGTAGTGTTCCTAACTGACCTAAGACAGGGAATTTTTACTAGGATTAAGTGTCAGGAATTGTGAAAAACTGAGTTTAAATGTATTTGGCTAAGGTGTATGTAAACTTCCGACTTCAACTGTAAGTACATTTGTCTATAGAAAACATCAGAAGACAAAGGAAACCAAGAGCAGTGGAGATGACTGACTCTCTCTTTACAATAGTTTTTATTTGCCAGGAAATAAATTAGACAACAAAAAAAAGAGTCACAAACAAAAAATAAAAAAAATAATGCAGCACATCAAAGTAGTTGAGTCCGACAGTCAGAATACTCCCATTCAAACAATGTACAGCATTATATCTGTACTCAAAGTAGGGACACACATTCATCTGGTAATGTTATGATTGATAAAACCTAGTTTTTCAAGTTTTCACTCAAGGCTCCAGATATGCAAGTAGGGAAGGAGAGGAAGAGGGAGGGAGAGATACATGTCTTATGATTACCCATCTGTCTACCATCATCATCACAACCACACTTAAACACATTCAACTGAAGCAAGATGTCAGTCTAGTCTCTTGACACAATAAGAGCTGCTCTATCTGACATTTCTGTGCAGAGAGAAAAACATGAATTGTTACAAGTAATTCAAGTCATAGTTTAATTAATACTGTTCATTTGTTGTTACTCATAGTGACCTAAATTGTGTCATCTTAAAACATTGTTGAACATGGCTAAAATCCAGAGAATAGCTAAGTGTATCAGAGTGAGTTATATTATCAGAGTAACGTAATGTACTTTATGTATCTTAAGAAGAATGCACTAATTGTAAGCCGCTCTGGATAAGAGCGTCTGCTAAATTATTTAAATGTAATAACTCTTTGTCTACGTTCCAAATGACACCTTATTCCTTATATAGTGCACTACTTTTGACCAGAGCCCTATTGGCCCTGGTCAAAAGTAGTGCACTAAATAGGAAATAGGGTGTCATTTGGGGGACAGCCTTCTTCTCCAGGTTGTTTTGATGCAACAACTACAGCAGTGATGCGTAACCATTAATTTCAGATTCCAGGGAAGGAAGACATGAAAAACAACAATGGTACTAAAACCTGTCTGCCTACTGGACACAATGTAATTCAGTGGACGATATAACTGCATAAACTGTCAATGATGACATTAACACACACTATTTATTCACAAAGTGATAGATATCCTTCAGAGTAACTGTTCAAAAGTTGAATTAGTCAGTCTGTTGAGAAATGTAACTGGATCACGTGAAGGAGAGCCTCTTATTGCCAACAGTTGACAGGTAGTAGAAGAATTATCCACACATTACATTACCTGATAGAATAAACTATTAACTGTTTTGGCAATAGTCAATGTGTGTACGTGAGTTTCTCATAGGTGTCCTCCACTGTAGAACGGTGGACTATACGGTGCTGGGTAGGTATGTAGCGTGTATGAATTAAACATGGTAGGATTAAGTAAAGCCATGACATCATGACCAAACAATTCATAACTGCTAAATCCCAAGTAATATTTCCATCATCTGACAATCACTTTGTCTTGAGGTGTCTAAATTGATTCCAATGTGGTTGCATTCAATTCAGAGAAAAGAGGATATTGCCACCTAGGCTGCATCCCAAATGGCACCATATTCCCTACATAGGGGCTCTGCTCAAAAGTCGTGCACTATGGGCCCTGGTCAAAAAGAATGCACTATTTAGGGAATAGGGGGCCATTTGGGGCCACATTCATTTCCCACACTACAAAATTATCCCAATGCAAATAGTAAAATTCAAACTAAAAAAAGAGTCAAAGAGGGATAGTGTTATTCAGTCGTCTCATACATTTCATCATGTACCATTACTCCAAATCAATAAGTGACTATGTACACCTAGTAGCCTGCTACAGACCGGACCTATTTATCAAAAACTTGCATACAAACAAACCACATTCTGATACAAATTAAATAAATAAACAAGTCAACCCAACACGCCCCCAATACTTTTCTGCTTCTTCCATCCTCACCCCTCATATCATACTGCAACACACAGTCTTCTGTAAAAGGTGGTGTGTAGGGTACATTAATAGCAACACTGCAGTGCCGTTGCTTTAGCAACATGACCTCTCACCACAGGAAGTGCTCCAGTAGGAGGGGCTCCCTTGATATTGCACTGGAGGAATTTTACTGGGGCACCCTATTCCATATATAGGGAATATAAACAACTTTTTCCTATATAAGGAATTTAACCTACTTTTTTCCCCATAGGGTCAAAAGTAATGCAGTACCTAGGGAATATGGTGGCATTTGGGAAGAAACCTGGGTTATGAACATTCATGACACCCTCTCATGGTCTGACAACAATACACCTGTCATGTCCTGTCCTGCACTGGCTATGGGTGGGGGAGCGCGAGAGGGAGAAAGAAGAGGAAAGGTACAGGAGAATCAAAGATCGCTAGAGAGAATTTGTGACTTCGATCAATTGGACGACGCTGTGCAGCATTTAACAAACGATACACACAACACACAAGTGTTCACAAAAATAAAGATGAGCATTGAAAAGGAGAATGAAAGTGATATATCAAGACATTCAGACACACTGACCTACAAGGTAGGAAACAGAAAAGTGCTGATGTTCTCGTTTGTTCTCACCCAGCGACTGGCTGATATGTGAGGAGCCATGATCCTCTCTGAGAGGTGTGGCAGTTGGGGGGTGGGGGATGGATCTGGAGGGAAACGTGACACACACACACACACACACACACACACACACACGTACGTGACGGGTCGTCAGGTGATTGCAAGACTTCCACAGAGCAGCAAGATGTCGTGGTGCAGACACACATACACACACACATTACATTTGGCAAAATACACTCCTCTCCGTGTCCACTCCATAATGATATAGACTACTAGTCCGTTAGCCCTCCTGTCTGTCTGTGTGCGGACTGCGTAAGGAGGGAGAGTTTATTTAGTTAATAATGTCACTACTGTGATACTGAGACCGTCAGTCAGCCCCACTGTCCTCCTCCTCCAGGCCCCCGGGGGGCGCCACAGTCTGAAGACTACACCATCTATCTCGTACAACCAACCAACCGGCCCGGCCCACCCCCTCCGGCCACAGAGAGACAGCCTCCTTCTGAAACAACCACTCCTCCCTCCCTCCTCTTCTTGTGTTTCCTCTTCCTCCTGCAGCAGCGAGGGTTCAGCCAGGTCAAGCAGTAGGTAGGTAAGTAGGTGGTTCCAGTCCAGGTAAGGGGGTTCTATGCCATGTAGATAAAGGTGTTGATGTCAGTCTCGTCCCGTTTGATGTATTTGTGTTCGATGAGCCACTCGATCTGTTCCTTGATCATCTTCTTCTGGGGCAGGAACATGTTCTTGAGGATCTCTACCAGCTCTGTCTGTAGCTGGGCATTACTGATCCTCTTCCTCATTTTCATAATCTGGATGATGGCCTCCTGGAGAGGGGTGGGTGGGTCAAACAACGTACAGCATTATATCTTTACTCAACGTTGCCACACATTCAACTGGTATGGTTATGATTGATAAAACCTAGTTTTTCATGTTCTCACTCAAGGCTTAGTGCTCCATTCAAGTATTTGGGGAAAAAAGTGCTGAAACTTCAGGTTCCTCAAGTTGGACCTTTAAATGTGTAACGTTACCTGGGTTCTTAATATTCTCAGCTGGACGATGCCCTCGTTCTCCTCCTCTCTCATTCGCTCCGTGGTCAGCTGCAGTCGACCAATCAGATTAATCTTGCCTCTTTTCTGGACCTTGGAGTTTTTACTAAGAAACAGAGAGACTAAAGAACTCAATATCCCATCAGCAATCACACCTGAAACTGCTCCTCAACATTCCATCCTGGTCCCTAAGTAGGAAACCATGACAACAAAGCTTTCATCAACATTCAAACTTCCCCAAAATGACTGATGAGTTAGAATACATACAGTTACATTAACTAAATAGAACATAGTAAGTCAACAGCGGTTGCAGTGAGGTGCAATTAAGGTTGCAAAACTCTGCCATCTTTCCCAAAAATCCCAGGTTTTTCAGAAATTCCAGATTCCTAGAATCAGGATGGAATAAGCAGGAAAGTCTGGAATGCTCCAATTAGTAATTTTTAGAAATCCTGGGAATGTGGGGAAAGTTACCAGAATTTTGCAACCATTCAATGCCTTTGTGCTCCCATTCAATGCCTTTATTTACAATGAGGGAAAAAAGTATTTGATCCCCTGCTGATTTTGTACGTTTGACCACTGACAAAGACATGATCAGTCTATAATTTTAATGGTAGGTTTATTTGAACAGTGAGAGACAGAATAACAACAACAAAATCCAGAAAAACGCATGTCAAAAATGTTATAAATTGATTTGCATTTTAAATGAGGGAAATAAGTATTTGACCCCTCTGCAAAACATGACTTAGTACTTGGTGGCAAAACCCTTGTTGGCAATCAGAGGTCAGACGTTTCTTGTAGTTGGCCACCAGGTTTGCACACACCTCAGGAGGGATTTTGTCCCACTCCTCTTTGCAGATCTTCTCCAAGTCATTAGGGTTTCGAGGCTGACGTTTGGCAACTCGAACCTTCAGCTCCTTCCACAGATTTTCTATGGGATTAAGGTCTGGAGACTGGCTAGGCCACTCCAGGACCTTAATGTGCTTCTTCTTGAGCCACTCCTTTGTTGCCTTGGCCGTGTGTTTTGGGTCATTGTCATGCTGGAATACCCATCCACGACCCATTTTCAATGCCCTGGCTGAGGAAAGGAGGTTCTGACCCAAGATTTGACGGTACATGGCCCCGTCCATCGTCCCTTTGATGCGGTGAAGTTGTCCTGTCCCCTTAGCAGAAAAACGCCCCCAAAGCATAATGTTTCCACCTCCATGTTTGACAGTGGGGATGGTGTTCTTGGGGTCATAGGCAGCATTCCTCCTCCTCCAAACACGGCGAGTTGAGTTGATGCCAAAGAGCTCGATTTTGGTCTCATCTGACCACAACACTTTCACCCAGTTCTCCTCTGAATCATTCAGATGTTCATTGGCAAACTTCAGACGGGCCTGTATATGTGCTTTCTTGAGCAGGGGGACCTTGCGGGCGCTGCAGGATTTCAGTCCTTCACAGCGTAGTGTGTTACCAATTGTTTTCTTGGTGACTATGGTCCCAGCTGCCTTGAGATCATTGACAAGATCCTCCCGTGTAGTTCTAGGCTGATTCCTCACCGTTATCATGATCATTGCAACTCCACGAGGTGAGATCTTGCATGGAGCCCCAGGCCGAGGGAGATTGACAGTTCTTTTGTGTTTATTCCATTTGCAAATAATCGCACCAACTGTTGTCACCTTCTCACCAAGCTGCTTGGTGATGGTCTTGTAGCCCATTCCAGCCTTGTGTAGGTCTACAATCTTGTCCCTGACATCCTTGGAGAGCTCTTTGGTCTTGGCCATGGTGGAGAGTTTGGAATCTGATTGATTGATTGCTTCTGTGGACAGGTGTCTTTTATACAGGTAACAAGCTGAGATTAGGAGCACTCCCTTTAAGAGTGTGCTCCTAATCTCAGCTCGTTACCTATATAAAAGACACCTGGGAGCCAGAAATCTTTCTGATTGAGAGGGGGTCAAATACTTATTTCCCTCATTCAAATGCAAATCAATTTATAACATTTTTGACATGCGTTTTTCTGGATTTTTTTGTTGTTATTCTGTCTCTCACTGTTCAAATAAACCTACCATTAAAATTATAGACTGATCATTTCTTTGTCAGTGGGCAAACGTACAAAATCAGCAGGGTATCAAATACTTTTTTCCCTCACTGTAGCTCAGGGGGCTAACACAGTGTTGTGGGTTCAAAGCTAATGTTTTCGCTATGTACATGAGAGAGAAGTCCTGGTTGACATAGAACAGGGTGCTGTCTGTGAAGTCTTTAGGGGAGGAGACTGAAGGCTCATAGGACAACACCTGTCTCTTCAGCTTAGGGAACGCTACCAGAGACTAGAGACAGAGAAGAGACAGCAGAGAGAGGGAGAGAAAGAGAGGTAATTAGTTTGTTCTCTCAGTCTCTTCTCTGTGTATGAACTGCGTTTATATTGTAATGTTTGCTTTCATTTTTCAATCCCAGAGAGTGTGTGTGTGTGTTACCCAGAGTGTGCGTCGTAGCTCAGCATCGGGCAGCTCAGTGGCCAATTTAAGGTTCTCAAAGCTGATTCGCTCCCGCGGCCGCTGGTTCCAGGCGAATAGGACTGCCAGCTGAAAGGTTGTGACCTCAAGGTCATAATGACCCATTTCGTTCTTGAAGGTGATCTAAACATACACGCCCACACACAACACACACACACACCCCCACACACACAGGGGAGAGGAGGGAGATCACTATGCCGTTGGACATGAGGTGATAGTAGTTTTTCCACTGATTATGTTTCTGAGTGTGTGTGCACTGTGTCTGTCTGTCTGTCTGGGTGTGTATCTTCCACTCACGATGCCATTGGACATGAGGTGGTGCCAGTGTAGTTTCCTCCCGCTGTGGTTCCTCTTGTAGAAGTCTTCTACCTCTGGGATCAGATCCTCCAGCTCAGTAGGCAGAGACACAAACACCTTCTCACTGCTCCTCGACCACGCCCCTGCATTCAGGATCTTTATATTCACACTGTCAGCTGAGCGAGAGAGAGAGAGAGACAGATAGAGCGTATTAGTGCATTACTATGATACACCAGCAGGAGGAATATTGAGGCTGTGGTTAATAATCACACAAGCTCAGGCCATAGGGTCTGTGTGTTTGTTACCTCGTAGAGCGAGTGTGTGAGTGTCTGTTACCTGGTAGAGCCAGCTTGTTGTGTTTGTGCATTTCCTTGAAGACCTGGTTGAGATCGTCCGATACTTTAATGTCCTGGAACATCCTGGCCAGCTTATTCACATAGTCTGCAGGCATCCCCACCTCCTACCCACACACAGACGACCCAGGGGGAAAAAAATAAATCAAAAAGGGGTATAGAGAGAGAGAAAGCATCTGTCTGTGTGTGTGCTCTTACCCTGAGCCACTCCACCATGTTCTCTTCGATCTCGCTGTCGGCTGAGATATCCAGAATCAGTCTTCTGGTCAGGTGGGCTTTATGGTACCTCATAAACACATCCTTATTCTGAACATACTTCAATACCAGCAACTGGGGGGGGAGAGAGAGCGAAAGAACACATCCTTATTCTGAACATACTTCAACACCAGCAGCTAGAAGGGTTCAGGATGAACAGGATAGAAGACTACGGCTGCATCCCAATTCTACACCCTTCTCCGAAAGTGCCCACTTCCCGTCATGGATTTCACAACAGCCAATGCTTACAACAATCCCAATGCTTTAAAATCCATGAATAAGAGTTTGAGAATCGGGGCTCATTCTACAGTACTAGGTGAGAGTCTTCACCACTTCTTTGAGTTTGAGTTCTATCTCCTCTGAGGTGAGTTTCTTGCTTAGGGTGGTTTTCCTCAGCAGCATGTCACAGTAGTTAGCTAGGAGCTCTGGACACTTAGACTCTGGCTGGGTCTTCAGACCTACCCTGTAGAGAGACACACAGATGAATAGCACATATATAAATATAATTGCTAAAACAGGCATCTACATTCAAGTCACTGGCTGTGTCCCGATTCTCCACCCTTTTTCCGAAGTCTACACGTGCACACTTTCTTGCATGGATTTTACAGTAATGGAAACTACCTCCAGCCAATGGTTACACAAATCATATGCTTTTAAATCCATGATGGGGAGTGTGAAAATGCACCCCTCAGGAAAAGGATGGAGAATCAGGATGCAGCTAATGTTCCGTGATGGGTGGACCAGCAGCCATATTGACACATAACCAAGGAATATAATATAAACATAAAACTCAGGTTTGTCTCACCCTTTCTGTTTGAGTGGCAGCTCTAGTTTAAAGATGGTGGCATCGTTCACTACAGCTTTGTAGGCCTGGAGAGAAACACAGAACTGTCAAACCTCCCGCTCTCCTCTCTCCCCTCACTTTTTTTCTCCTCCTCCATCCATCCCCACCCCCCTTTTCTCTCCACCCCTCCATTCCATCTCCTCCCTTCACCCCCTTTTCTCTCGCTGTATGTGTGTGTGTGTACCTTGTCTCTGGCGGTGAGGAATCGAGGGTCGTCCTGAAAAGCCTCCTTCACCAGTTTACTGAAACGGTTAAACAACATCAGCAGCTGCTCCACGTACTTCTCAGAGTCCTACACACACAGGAATAACAAGAGAAATACAGATATACTAGCTGATTTTGAGTGTGTACATGTTTTACTATACTTGTGAGTACCAGAAGTCCTCACAAGAATAGTAAACCAACTCAAATTCAGAGAAGTGAGGACATTTTAGGCTTAGGGGTTAGAATCAGGGTTAAGGGAAATTGGATTTTCAATGGGAATCAATTGTTGGTCGCCAAAAAGTCCTCACAACTATAGTAAGACAGATCTGTGTGTGTGTGTACATACAGAAGTGATAGTCTCTGCAGCAGCCACCATATCAGCCAGCCCAGCGTTCATGATGTGATCCTCCAGGTCTTTCAGCATGGGCTCTATCCCACTAGGAACCTTATCCATCAGGGAAAACATCAGGTGGAGCTCTGAAGGGGGAAGGACATTAACGTTACACAAAGAAGGACCCTCTTCTACAAACGGTCCCAAGGTTGGTGGGTTACAGTAGTAATGTAACGTGTTACTCACTGTCTGTCTCGTTGCGTTTGATCATGCCAGGACATTCGGCCAGGATGGTTTCTTTAAACGACGTCACCAGAGCGTTCACACAACATTCCATCAGCTGGAGAGAGACATCAGAGACTAACATTGATCTACATGACATCTACATCATCATCTGTTGACTGTGAATATGAGTTAAAACCAGTCTATACAGCCTCATGGGTAAACAGTCTGTCTACTCACTGCTTGGACAGAGTTACATTCACGACGAGTCTCGAGGTATCGAACTGCCCTCTTCTCCTCTTCCCTTAGCTTTGTGTCTGCCTGCAAGACACACGCGATCAGTGAATGTATACACACCCACTGAGATATTGTCACAACAACAACACACTGACACACACACACACACAGAGAGAGAGCAGTCCTTACATATTTCATGTAGTTCTGGACTCCGTTCTGCTGTAGGTATGATGGGGCCTGTGTTCTGTAGAACCTCTCAGTTGAGTCCAGGTAGGCCTTCTCAAAGTTATCTCTGTAGATCTGGAGCTTGTCTTCAGGGTTGGAGCACAGGTTGACTACACACACACACACACACACACACACAGTCAACATACCGAAAACGTACCATGCTTCACCATAACTTCCCATATAAAATGTGTGGATGTTAGCCACTCAGTGTGTGTGTGTCCTACCATATGATTCTCGTACTCCTATAACCAGCTGTGAGTCAAAAGCCTCTCCCAGCCTCTCAGCGTGAACCAGCTTCATAGCACTGTCCTGAAGACGGCTCTTTATGTTGGAGAAGATCGACTCGTTCCATGTGTCCAACATCAACTAGAGGAGATTCAGAGGGGGACAGAGAGAGGAAAAGAGAGAGAGTGAGTAAGCAGGATGAGACAATTGATGCATACTATCAAAAAGATGAGCATTGTCCATCTCTCCCCTCCCTCATCTTTTCCTTTCCTCCCCCTTTCTCCTCTCATCCCCCTCTCCTCACCTTGCGTACGATGCTGTCCTCAACGTTAGACTTCTTGTTGCTGCCCTGCTTCCCCATCAGTGTGATCTCCAGCTGACAGAAGGGTTTGGGCAGGATGTCACACTGCGTGAAGAACTTCCTCCACTCCACAATGTAGGCCTTCAGTAACGCTGTGTCATCCTGGTGACTCAACACACGCTGCCATGGAAACACAGGTCAGAGGTTAGGTCAGAGACAGGTTGCATAGGTAGAGGTCGGGAGTTTAAGAGTAGCCTCTTGCCTGGAACTGTCATCACTGTACTGGAAAGGTGTGTGTGTGTGTGTGTGCACGCATGTGCATGTGTGTGTGAAGAACAGCACATTCCAAACTCAAATGTGATTTAAACCCTTACCAAAACCCTTCCCCTGTAACCCACAGTCACACTTACGTTCTGAGCTTGTTTGATGAAGTCTAGAATGTCTTCTTTGAGGGCCTGGTGGATCTTAGCTGGGCCCTTATCATCCCATAGACACACAGCATGGACGTCTCTGCAACACACAATAATAAGCATAGGGTTTTGTGTGTGTGTGTCTGCGGTGCAGTATGTGTCTGTTGTGCAGTTTGGTGTGGTGTGATGCAGTGTGTGTGTCTTACGAGAAGAGGTCGAACCACTGCTGCTTGGTGACAGCCTCCTGTCTCAGCAGCTTGAGAACGATGGGCCTCATCAGGTCCCACTTGTCCTCAAACTGCAAGGAGCCTTTATTCTGGAGAGAGATGATACTACTGTTACTACTCACTACAACTATACTGTTACTACTCAGGGTCATATTCATTAGTGCACACTGTAGAAAATGTTTTGCAACAGAAAATGAAAACAAGCGTTTCTTTTTTGGACAATTTCAAGTAGTCACTCTCTGTTTCGGCATGTTTGCTTCTGTTTCGTACCTAGTGAATATGACCCAGTACGCACTACAACTGTCAAACTGCAACAGAGCATTATTCTGGAAAGAAACTGAAACAAATACTGTTACTACCTATTACTTAGTATCTCAGACTACAGAGAGCCTTTATTCTGCAGAGAGATGACACTACTCACCACCACACTACCTAGAGCCATTCATTCTGGAGAGAGACTGAGAACGAATACTGTTCCTACTTACTAACCCATTACTCAGTAACATGCTACTGTCTGACGCTGTTCAGAATTAAATTATATGTTCACTAGTAGGTTTTTATTCTTTTAAAACATACGTTACAATGGTTCAGTTCGCTAAAATAAATCCTGCTTCAACTAAAACCTTAGCTACATTGTCAACAGTGTAGTTGCACTCAACTCTGATCAATCTGAAGCAGTCAAGACCGTATGTACAGTTAGTTAGCTAGCTAGCTAGCTAGTAACACTACCTTGCTGGAGAGCTGTCAAACAGAGCTAATGTTAGCTTGCCAATTCAGCTGATTGTTCCACCACCTGGACAAGCCTGCTACATATTCTCTTGCAGTTTGATGTTGACAGACAACTGTTACTACAATGAACTGTGTATGATATTATTGATGAACTGTCCATTTAAAAGACGAAATGCTTATGCCGGTGACAACTGTATTGCACGTTAGCCAGATGGCTGGCTAGCTAGCTAGCTAGCTTGTCTTAGCATCCCTTGCTAGCAAGAGAGACATTTCTGTAACCTTAAGTGCAAATAAAACCTGACAAACAGTGTCCGTGGTCGGATTTGTTTTTAACTCCTTCATTAACTTATTTACATCCAGACTATAGGCATCGGGGCGCATAATTAAGTCTTCAAATCCGGATAAAATGCTGACGTGAAGAGACTCTTACCTTTAACAAATTAGACGTCGCCATGTTTCCTCCAATTTGTGCCCTCCTCGCGCAGTCTCGCGAGTGTGTGGTTGGAGGGGATTAAGTAATGTAGCTTTCTATTTAGCACAATAAAAATAGACATATAGATAAAAAAGGCTAGATAATTGTCCAGTTTAGAGTATTGTGTCATGAAATGTTAACTGCATTTTTATGTGCTGCTCTTTGCACTTAAGACACTGCACCAACTAGGATCTTGCAGGTGTTGGAAAATAAATAGAGTAGGCCACAGTTGCCTTGGCTGGGACAGTGCTAAACTTAGCTTTTGACTGCCATGGAACCACTGAGTTTTATTACAGGTCAGTGCATGGTATGTACGTTAGCTATGTGACTGGGAGACAAGTGAGCAACATAGAGAAGGGATATGGGCCCTGTTCGAATCCACACAGCCTTCCTCTCCTTTCCTTAATTAATTCATTCATTCATTCTTTAATTCACCTACCATCTGAAAGCACTAAGGGGTCTTTGCACTTTGATTAGAGAAACTGTTAATCATTCAGCCCAGGCAGCACAGAAGAAATGTAAAATCCTCAGTACAGGCAGCACACAGCAGTGTATTCCCCATCCCAGGACCCCACTGTTACAGTGAGACAACATGGCTGAGAAGGAAGCAGAGGGGATTATAGCTACAGACCCCAGCGACAATGATGATAGAAAATGTGTTATTATACGGAAGCTTCTGAAGTTCAACCCTAAAGAAGTGTTTACATGGTGAGTCTGTGGGGGGAGAAAACTCATCTCTAAAGAGAGAGAGATGTTATATCAGTGATGATCTGGATCCCATATGGCACCCTATCCTTTATATAGTGCACTACTTTTAACCAGCTCCCTATGGGCTCTGATCGAAAGTAGAGCACTATATAGGGAATATGGTGCCATTTGGGACACATAGTGACATAGTGGAGATGTCCAAAAATGTGTCCACTGTCCAGTAGCCTAGTCTGAGTTGTGTATGTCCCTGGCAGCTAGCATACAGTAGCTTGGACTGAGTTGTGTTGAAACCCTAATGAAGGATATAGGGCCGAAACATGTTGGTTTTACCAATAAAGACGCAGCTTTGTCAACGTCCACTGTCTTCCAAGAGTTGCTGAATTTCCTCTTCACTTATGCTTTGTCCTAACAGGCAGCTGGTGAAGACAGTAGCCATGGGTCAGGGTTTGGCTGCTCTCATCTGCGGCACAGCAGTAACATCCCAGTACCTGGCTTCAGACTACCACGTGGATGCGCCCATGCTCCAGAGCTTTATAAGCTACACACTGCTCTGCCTCACCTACACCACCGCTCTGCTGTTCAGAACAGGTACACACACACACACACACACACAAATATGCTGCTTTGAAGAACAGGCAGTCTCTCTCTCTCTCTCTCAAACACACACACACACACCCACACACCACCCCAGGGCGCTCCTCGTCAGAATAGTACAGTTGTCAACTCTATAAAATGTTATAATTGTGTAGCAGTGCAATAACCTCCAGGCTACCCCCCTCTCCTAACGTACTGTAGGGGATGGCAATATGTTTCCGATTTTGAAGAAGAGGTGGTGGAAGTATCTCCTACTAGGCTTGGTGGACGTCGAGGCTAACTACACAGTGGTTAAAGCTTACCAGTACACTACACTCACCAGTATACAGGTCAGAACTACGAGAGGGTGTGTGTGTGTATGTCTGTCTGTATGTATGTTTTTGTGTGTGTGCGAGCTTGCGTGCATGTGTGTATGTGTGTGTGCTGAGTTATGTCCATGTATGTGACGATTCTGGTGTGTCTCACAGCTGCTGGACTGTATTGTGATCCCTGTGTTGATGATACTGTCCTGCTGGTTCCTGAATACGTGCTACAGACCCATCCACTACGTCTCTGTGTGTGTCTGTCTGCTGGGGGTGGGGGCCATGGTGGGAGCTGATCTACTGGCTGGACGAGACCTAGGATCCAGTAAGAACCCACTCCATTCATTCATTCATTCATTCAATCTCTCAGTTCATATCATAATAAACAGTAACATCTCTTTCCTCATCCTCCTCTCCTCCCTCTCTCCTAGCCTCAGACGTTCTGCTAGGTGATGGCTTGGTCCTGCTCAGTGCCAGTCTATATGCTGTGTCTAACGTTGTGTCAGGAGTACACCGTCAAACACCTCAGCAGAGTGGAGTTCCTAGGCATGGTCGGCCTTTTCGGCACACTCATCAGTGGCATACAGCTGTAAGTGTGTGTGTTTACGTGTGTGCGTGCGCGTGTATCTGCGTGTGGATGTGTGTTGTGTGTGCATGTTCAGGAGAAGGTAGTAGAACGGGAATGTAGTTGATTTGAGTGGTCTGCTGTGCTGCTACAGGGGTGTTCTGGAGCATAACAACGTGGCAAACATCCAATGGGACTGGAGAATCGGTTAGTACCACATAAAACTAAATATATAGATAGCTGCCAAAATCAAGGAAACGCTTGAGTAAATTAGGGATTCAAAGTAAATTGAAAGCAGGTGCTTCCACACGTGTGGCTCCTAAGTTAATTAAGCAATTAACTTTCCATCATGCTTAGGGTCATGTATAAAAATGCCCAGTTGCCCATTGTTTTGGCTACCATGACTAGAAGAAGAGATTTCAGTGACTTTGAGAGAGGGTTCTCAAAGGTGCATAGGAGGTTTAAAGGGTGTGGATGTCTCTTATGGGAGATTCTGGAACGGCACCTAACACAGCGTTTTCCACCACCATCACCAAAACACCAAATGATGGAATTTCTCATGGAAGAATGGTGTCGCATCCCTCCAATATAGGTCCAGACACTTGTATAATATATGCTAAGGTGCACTGAAGCTATTGTGGCAGCTCATGGTGGCCCAACGTCCTATTAAGACACTTTATGTTGGTGTTTCCTTTATTTTGGCAGTTACCTGTATATTTGTTGATATCTTTGTATGATTTTTTTATTGAACAGATAGGACAGTGTGGAAGAAGGAAAGTAAGGAAAGGGTTTGTTACAAAGTAGCTGTGGGTCCGGGATTCGGTAGTGTTAACCACTAGACCACCCCAGGCCACCGGTTATTACCTCTCTCTTAGGGTTACAGAAGTGGTGGTGGCAAGGTTACAGAGAGTACAGAATGGATGCTGTGTCAGCTTGCAGAAGTACAGTTTCCACATACAGCTGTTTGCTGCTCTATATCTTGTGTTTTATGGGAGCTGCAACAGTTGATCTTCCTTGTTAATAATACTTTCTGCCCTGTATAATGATTGTATGTGTTTTCTGTTCAGGCCTATTGTTCTCTGACTACACCCAGTACAGCTGTATGTATGACTAGAGAGAGTAGAAGAGATCAGTACTTTGTTGATTCCAACTTGGGAAATTGTTTGATCACCACAAGCATCATCAACGATTACAAAAGACAAGACAAGGATCAATAATATTCAGATATGAACACATAATAAAATATTAAAAAGACAGATGCACCTTAGGAGCGATAAGAAAAAAACATTAGAAATGCTGTTGTCTGTCATACTCTGGGAAAACAAGCAACAACAATGCATAGTATAGTATGTTCATTTTATCATGTATAATTCTCCTCTCCCCAGGCCTGCTGTTTTCTGGCTATGCCCTGTGTATGTACACCCTCTACAGCTGTATGCCCATAGTGGTCAAGAAGACCAGTGCTACAGCAGTCAACCTCTCCCTGCTCACTGCAGACCTCCTCAGCCTCTTCTGTGGCCTGTTTCTCTTTCAATACACGGTTAGTACACACACACACACACACACACACACACACACACACACACACACTGGGGATAGTAGGTACAGTAGGTTGAGCCATTTGACAGCTCAGTTACTGATTGTGTTTCTGAATAGATAAAGACATGAGTTAATCAATGATTTGATGACTCCAATGATGGATGATATATTAATTGATTGCTGCTATACTATGTCTGTAATCTCTGTCAAACTAGTATAATCTAATCTCTGTGAGATCAAGGAGACAGTAGTGATAAGATCAGTCCCCAGAAACAGAGATAGGAGGATCCATCCCACTAGAGCTGTCCTGATCACAGGACACATCTGTCCTTATCTTAAAACATCTTAGTCCTGAAGAGAAATCCCCTGGTCACCATGACCCTGTTCAGTGTGTTGATGATTGTTTTTAATGTGTAATCTCCTATGTCCTCATATAGCTCATCTGGTGTGTGAGTGAGTGTGTGTGTGTGTGTGTGTGTGTGTGTGTGTGTGTGTGTGTGTGTGTGTGTGTGTGTGTGTGTGTGTGTGTGTGTGTGTGTGTAGTTCTCAGGTCTGTACATGGTGTGTCTGGTGGTCATCCTGGTGGGCTTCGTCTCCTTCAACGCTGTGGCAACGACCCCTGACCCTGCAGACCCCATCGCCCTCTCCATGGGCTGGGAGGAGGGCAGCTACGAGAACCCTGATGACATCATCAAAGAAGAAGTGGTGGTGGCGGTCTTGGAAGAGAAGGAGGATCAGGAAGAGGAAGAGGGTGAACGCCCATGGGTGTCATGGAATCAGAGAACACAGAATGAGGAGGTACCGGCAGGGGGACAGAGTACCAAGATGTGATCTGATCTACTAGACGAGCACTTCCCAACAGTCTATAGCTGTTAATCTCCTTGTCTCCTTTCTTTAATTTGTACCATTCTAACAGATCTACAGATTCACAGGTGTATATATGTACAGTATAGGTGTTTGTATTAGTTGTAATATTTGTCCACTAGTTGACTTGGCAGGAAGAATAATAAATACATGTTTTATTCCACATTCATTGTGGGGTGTGTCAAGTTAATGAGTGAGTCTTCATTGATATCAAACCTGGTTGGAGCATAAACCCAATTAAGCAAGATATTTTCACATGAAGAATGTTATGTGCAGGGCTCAATGCCTGCAACATTACCTGATTAAATTATTATTATTTGAGACAACAAAACAAAAAACAATCGAAGAATGGGTCCCTCCTTTTTTTAATGAAGACAGTTGAAATACTTGATACTTGAAATCTTTGGAATGAGGTCGCAAATTGAGTATTTTCACGTCATATCCTCGCGTGGCTTCAATCTTCCGGTAGGTAGAGAGCTGTCCGTGGTGCTGAAACCGTTAGTAGCACGCGCACAACATTGTTTACAAACATCGGATCTGATCAGCTCATCAAATCTATGGACAGAAAACGTTTGTTTTTCCCGAGCTAGTGCTAGTCAAATACTTTATTATTAACAGTTAGCGAACTAATAGTCTGCTTTGTGATTCACTATGTCTATGATGCTAAACAAGGCACGGAAGCAATGCTACTGAACTGCTTTGGGACAGAAAATAACTGACATGTAGACACCTCCTCCGTGTGTTTACAGACAGGTGAGATATAACAAGGTAGACTGCATGCAATAGTTTTTCTTAACCTTCTCCCTCTGTCAATCTTCCATCTCTTTCCCTGACTCCTAAACTGTCAAACCAGCTCCACAGTAATGATCTATACACAGACTACTAGGCTATAGAGCTTTCACAGGCCCCATATGGAAAATAATTATGAAAATCAAATAAGAATCTTGTACAGCAGAATAACATAATTTGTACAAACATCTACGAATTACTCTAATAAGGATCTGGTAAGATTTTGTATGTTTTTCCTTATATGTCAGTGCTGTATTTGTATATGTGTTAACTTAAATGCATTTTATGACATACACCACAATAATGTATTCAATTGTGTATTTCCTAAAAAGATATGGTAAGACATACAGTACCAGTCAAAAGTTTGGACATACCTACTCAATCAAGGGTTTTTCTTTATTTTTTACATTTTTTGACATTGTAGAATAATAGTGAAGACATCACAACTATGAAATAACACATATGGAATCATGTAGTAACCAAAACAGTGTTCAACAAATCAAAATATATTTTATATTTGAGATTCTTCAAATAGTCACCCTTTGCCTTGAAGACAGCTTTGCACACTCTTGGCATTTTCTCAACCAGCTTCATGGGGTAGTCACCTGGAATGCATTTCAATTAACAGGTGTGCCTTCTTAAAAGTTAATTTGTGGAATTTCTTTCCTTCTTAATGCGTTTGAGCCAGTCAGTTGTGTTGTGACAAGGTAGGGGGGTATACAGGTATACTATTTGGTAAATGACCAAGTCCATATTATGGCAAGAACAGCTCAAATAAGCAAAGAGAAAGGACAGTCCATCATTACTTTAAGACATGAAGGTCAGTCAATACGGAACATTTCAAGAACTTTGAACGTTTCTTCAAGTGCAGTCGCAAAAACCATCAAGTGCTATGATGAAATTGGCTCTCATGAGGACCGCCACAGGAATGGAAGACCCAGAGTTACCTCTGCTGCAGAGGATAAGTTCATTAGAGTTACCAGCTTCAGAAATTGCAGCCCAAATAAATGCTTCACAGCGTTCAAGTCACAGACACATCTCAACATCAACTGTTCAGAGGGGACTGTGTGAATCAGGCCTTTGTGGTCGAATTGCTGCAAAGAAACCACTACATAAGGACACCAATAATAAGAAGAGACCTGCTTGGGCCAAGAAACACGAGCAATGGACATTAGACTGGTGGAAATGTGTTCTTTGGTCTGGAATCCAAATTGGAGATTTTTGGTTCCAACCGCCGTGTCTTTGTGAGACACGGTGTGGGTGAACGGATGATCTCCGCATGTGTATTTCCCACTGTAAAGCATGGAGGAGGAGGTGTTATGGTTTGGGGGTGTTTTGCTGGTGATTTATTTAGAATTCAAGGCACACTTAACCAGCATGGCTACCACAGCATTCTGCAGCGATACGCCTTCCCATCTGGTTTGGGCTTAGTGGACTATCATTTGTTTTTCAACAGGACAATGACCCGACACACCTCCAGCCTGTGTAAGGACTATTTTACCAAGAAGGAGAGTGATGGAGTGCTGCATCAGATGACCTGGCCTCCACAATCCCCCGACCTCAACCCAATTGAGATGGTTTGGGATGAGTCGGACCGCAGAGTGAAGGAAAAGCAGCCAACAAGTGCTCAGCACTCCTTCAAGACTGTTGGAAAAGCATTCCTCATGAAGCTGGTTGAGAGAATGCCAAGAGTGTGCAAAGCTGTTGTCAAGGCAAAGGGTGGCTATTGGAAGAATCTCAAATATAAAATATATTCTGATTTGTTTAACAATGTTTTGGTTACCACATTATTCCATATGTGTTATTTCATAGTTTTGATGTCTTCACTATTATTCTACAATGTAGAAAATAGTTTTAAAAAATAAAGAAAAACCCTTGAATGAGTAGGTATGTCCAAACTTTTGACTGGTACTGTATTTGCGACAAATTATATGAATTATGTTCTGAGAATGTAACCTCTACAAAGTAAACGTTTTTCTTATAGGTTTCTCACTGTTTTTTATAAGTAAACATATAAAGACCATGACAATTACTATAAGAAAAATACAGTATTTGTAGATAAATGTTCAGGTATGAGTTTCCATGGTTAAGGCTGGGCAGAACCTCCTACTGGACAGTTGATTTATCTACAGCTATGCCTTTGGTCTCCCATCCAGGATTTTAGCCAAACACAGCCCTGCTTAGCTTTGATATTTGTCACTGACTACTACCAATGTGCTATCATGAGAATGCTTGTTGTGAGATCTCCACTTAATAACTAAATATGACTCACTGCTGCTATCAAAGTCATTCCTCCTCAACCTCCTCCTCCTCTCCTCCTCCTCATCCTCCACCTGTTCTCATCTTCTCTCACTCAGTTGATGCCCCTAGTTTGCATAATATACAACCTTAGAACATAAAACTGATAATAAGGTTTTCCTGATTCTGTCCCAGACTCTGGAGCGATCATGGACCCACGGTCTGAGGGATCCGACCCCCGGGCCGAGGGAACTGACTACGTTCCCAACAGTATTCCCTATGTTCCGGAGCAAAGGTCTGAGCTGTGTGTGTCGGAGGCTCACAGCCAGCAGCTACTGGGCATGCTCAGATCGTTCAGAGAGAGAGGCCTGCTTTTTGACTTCACTATAACAGTCCAGGACCAGACCTTCCCCTGTCACCGCTGTGTCCTGGCGGCCTGCAGTGACTTCTTCAGGTTGGTGTGTGTGTGTATTTGTGTGTGTGTGCATGCGTGCGTGTGTGTGTGCTCTAACGGTTCTCTGTCTGCAGGGCCATGTTTGAGTTGGACATGCGTGAGTGTGGTGATGGGATGGTAACCCTGGGTAACCAGTCTCCGGAAGCCGTGCGCTGCTTCCTGGACTTCTGTTACTCTGGAGAGATGGTCGTCACCCATGAAAACGTAGACATGCTGTTCCAGCTCGCCTCTTTCCTACAGGTACACTACATCAGGGGTAGCCCTTACCCTAAAGCAAATGACACCCTACCCCTATGCCCTACATAGTGCACTACTTTTGACCAAAGCCCTATGGACCATGGTCAAAAGTATTGCACTATAAAGGGAATAGGGTGCAATTTGGAAAAAACACTAGATCTGGGTCAGATACATAAACTTGAGAGGTGATGTTGATATATTGACCGGTGTTCCGTTTCCCAGGTGTCTGTACTCTTCAGAGCATGCAGTGACTTCCTGATCGGAACCCTGGAGCTCTCCAACTGCCTGATGCTATTGGCCCTCGCCGAGGGATACGGCTCCGCCTCCCTCCTCCAGCAGGCCAATGAGTTTGTAGTTCAGAACTTCCACGACCTCTCAATGACTCCAGACTTCCTGGATATGCCGGTGAGGAGCCACTCTGATAGGTTCCCATTGTCATTTATTGAGACTCACAAAAATATATTTGTGCATTGAAATAAAAGGGCCCTAGCACTAGCACACCTGATTCAACATATCAACTCATCATCAAGTTGAATCAGGTGTGTTGGTGCTAGAGCAAATACACCCCTCTGGGTCCCCCGGATCAGGATTGGGAAACACTGAAGTAGATAGTTACTCCTTTTAGCTTTGAGAAAGTCACTATGTGAGCCATGTAAAAGTGTGCATGGGTCCACTCCCCCTGAAGGATTTAAAAGGATTTAAAAGCATTGGATTGCTTTTAAATACTAACATTGGGAAACACTGATCTACTTCCTGTCCTCCCAGTTGGGCGTGCTTGAGTTATGTCTGGGGTCGGACAGTCTGAGCGTGCCCAGTGAGGAGGTGGCGGTGAGGTCATCGCTGAGGTGGACAAGTCACGACCTCCAGACCAGACAGAGGCTGTTGCCACGGCTACTCGCACTGCTACGGCTTTACCACGTACCCACACACACCCTGCAGGTACACACACACGCACACCCACCCACACACACGTATGCATGGGTCTTTTTACCAGTCAAAATGTATTGTGTATGTGTGTGTTCAGGCGCTGGCCCGGACTGAGAATCTCCTCTCAGAGGACCAACTCTGTGTTAGTCTGGTCAGTGATGCAGTGAGTAGACAGACACAGCTCAGTGGTCTACTGCCAGATGCCAGACCAGCCACCACACAGTCTTACATCTACATCCACAAGACAGAGGAGAACGGAGAGATACACCACAGCTTCTGTTACTGCCTGGACACAGACCAATGGAGAGAGCTGCCTCAGGGCCAGGGGGCGGGTTTTAGTATGACCCCTGACCCCCCAGGCTCCTCCCTCACCAGCTACGCCGAGAAGGTATACAAACAAACACACACACACATACACACACACACCCAGGCAGTAGCGCACAATTGAATTTACGCTTTGATCAACTATCATCATTTTTTATCTCCTCTCTAAGTTGTTTGTGACAGGTGGTTGTCGGGGCAACTGTTGCCGCACGGTGCGTCTTCACGTGGCAGAGCCATTCCATGATGCGACAGCGGAGGTTTGGTGCTACTGCCCCATCACACACACCTGCACCCCTGCCCCGGACATGGGGAAACCCCGTACCATGCACACAGCTGTCACCACCCTGGGCAGACTGTATGTGCTAGGAGGGAGGACCGGAGGAGAGAGGGATGGGGCTCCTAGCCTAATGGAGGTGAGGATGAGGATGATGATAATTATGATGATGATAGTTGTAATGATGATGATGATGATGATGATGATGATGATCATCTGTAGGTGGAGTACTATGACCCCCTGGCCAAAACCTGGACATCCGTCAGCTCTCTGCCCACGGCTATCTACTACCCAGGTAAGGAACACACACACACACAGAGAAACATACATGCACAAATGCACACAGACACACACAGAAATACAGAAACCCCCACACACATACACACACATACCTCTAACCCTCCCCGTGGCCTCGTATTACCACCCAGAAGCTAGTGCGTGCGGCAGCATCATCTACACATTGGGGTCGTCAGTGGAGATATCGGACTCCTTCAACCCTTCGCTGGACTGTTTCCTGCGCTACGATGCCGTTTCTGACCAGTGGAGCCACCTGGTGGCAGAGTTTGGTCAGTTTTTCCATGCCACCCTGGTCAAGGCTGTGTCTGTCAACAACACTCTACACCTCTGTGACTTGTCTACATATAAGGTGACTGACTTGTTGATTGACTGGTTGATTGATTGATTGACTGATTATTTGATTGATTGATGTCTCCATCTATAAGTTTGAACTCACTGCTTGTACTGCAAGGAGCATACGCACAGCTCTTTTTTTTTGTAGTCCCGTGTAGCTCAGTTGGTAGAGCATGGCGTTTGCAATGTCAGGGTTGTGGGTTCAATTCCCACGCGGGGCCAGTATGAAAATGTATGCACTCACTAACTGTAAGTCGCTCTGGATAAGAGCGTCTGCTAAATTACTAAAATGTAAATAAGTCTATTTGTATTTCTTTATCCTTCATTTAATCAGGCAGGTCCTATTGACATAGAAACAGTACATAGATAGGGACTTTGTCATTAAAACAAACTTGACAACTATTTTACGAAACACCAACTCACCACACCTGACCAGTCTGAATCCTGTGTTTTGTGTTCTGTGTTCTGTGTTCTGTGTTCTGTCCAGGTATACAGTTTCTGTCCGGAGACGTGTGTGTGGCAAGGGGAGGGGTCGTTCGAGTGTGCCGGGTTCAACGCAGGCGCCGTGGGTGTGGCCAACCGAATCTACATCCTGGGAGGAGACTACTCACCTGATGAGATCACTGACGAAGTCCAGGTGTACCACAGTGGGCGGGGCCAGTGGGAGGAAGTGACGCCAATGCCACGCCCCCTGACAGAGTTTCACTGTCAGGTCATCAGCTTCAACAGATACAGAGACCCCTGGGGAGGGAGGGACACATAACACACACACACACAAGCATGTGTGCACACACACAAACCCTGGGATTAAAAGCTGCACACCGCATCAATGAAATAAATTATGTTTTGTCATATCTAATTTGTATCACATTTTATGTTATATATTTATTTATAAACTGGGGGATTCCAGCCCTGAATGCTGATTGGCTGACAGCCATGGTATATCAGATCGTATACCACGGGTATGACAAAACATTTATTTTTACTGCTCTATTTACGTTGGTAACCAGTTTGTAATAGCAATAAGGCACCTCTGGGGTTTGTGGTATATGGCCAATATATCACGGCTAAGGGCTGTATCCAGGCACTCTGCGTTGCATCGTACGTAAGAACAGCCCTTAGCCGTGGTATATGGCCATATACCACACCCCTTTCGAGCATTATTGCTTAATTAAAACATTTTCTATTCCCAAGAATGCTATTTGGGTTCAAAGCCACAGTAGAGGTTTCTGAGTCTTCTGGTCCAAGGACTTGTCTTGGTTGTTTCTAGACATATCTGATCACCTAAGGCTGTTGCAGCTGACATGACATCTATCATGGTGCAGGATCTATTAAAGAACTCTGGAATGGCATTTTTCTGTGTGCAGGTTTTCTGTCTTTATTTTCAGTGTAACTGGACTGGGCCTGCCTTCACTATTTAAAAGTGAGACAGTGAAAGACTACTGTTCCAGGTAACACGTGTTACAACACTCTCTACTTTGGAATGTTTTTGTGCCAGAGTAGGCTTGTCTAGCCAAACACCACGTTGTAATGCTGAAATATTTGTAAACACTTGCGCAGAGGGCTAACCATTTGACACAAACATAATTAAATGTTGATTCTACATTGCTCACATTGTGACTTTCTCAAAGCAAAAAACAATGAGCTTGAAATCAGTTGAAATTGAATGCGGGCACCTGTGCTCTATGATCTATTGCCGACTTTTCGCGGGAGATATGATAACGTATTCTACTGTTCAGTGCTTCAGGCTACTAGATTTCGGACGGACTCAACCATCTGACTGGATAGGGGTGTTCCACAATAGGATACGCTGTAGGTAGTACGTTTTGTTTTTAGTTGTGTCATGCAAATGTGTTATAGCATTATAATATTCTGCTACAATTTATAACGCATATTTATTATACCTCAATGGTTATTTTAGATAGTATTCGTTCATCCATCTACGAAACGGGAGTTACCCTTCTCTTTTGAGTTAAAGCGCTCCTGTCCTGCTCCGGGAGTGATGTCACTGATAGAATGTGATCATTTCGCGAATCAGTGTACTTCTCGTTGCTTTTTTTAATCATAAGACAGCTTGTGCGGCATCGACAGACGATTGTTCGTAGAGAGACTATCAAAGAAAAGTACATTTTCGGTCTTAGTCTGTCTTCTAGGACAGCTACTCAATGGTTTATTATTAAACATTTTGTGGATCAAACAACGTAGTTGGCTACATTTCAACTGGGTGACAATGCTAGAATGTTTTGTAGCTAAATGTTGTCTGTTTTGACGAACGTTTTGCTGTAAACTAGAACGTCAAGATTTATTTTCCTAAAAGACCCAATTTCGTCGATTGAAGATCATCAGGACAGGGCTACAGCCGAGCAAGGAGGACAAGATATCACCCTCAGCATTTTGTTTCCAGTTGATCTACAGCGACATACAACAATGTTAACCCAGGTATGTATGGTTTATTACATTCTTATTAGCCTACATTCGTGGTACATTCTTTCCAAAGTGGTAAGAACAAACAAGGTTCCGTGCAGGCTACTAGCCGCTTGTTGTTGTGTGTGGTGTGTCCAGGGCGCGTGTCTTGGACTTGGACACGACAATGTTCTTTCCGGGTAGCCTAATGAATCAAACCCCTCAAATGATGGTCAATGAAAAAAAGCATCGACAACGATGGATGCTCTTTTATTTGCACTTCGTGTGAAACGTGTCCTCTAGTTTGTGTGTCCAGAAAATGTTGACACAACTTATTTTTTTCCTGCGCAGCATCGAGTGTGTGTAGCCTAGGCTAGACAGAAGCCATGTCAGGAGGAATTCTATTGTGTCGCTGAAATATTTGGCACTCCGCTCATTGATTTGCAATCGCAACTTTATGTTAATGACAAATTAGATCCGTGAGTAGACTAGACTAGGATGCCATCTGATCAAGCTCTCGAATTTAGAGAAACTATTTGAAGAAGCGAAGGCTACATTTTATTAACCTACCTCAACAGTCTAACCCACTGTCATTTTTCTCTGATGACCGCCCAGCAATCAGGTTACGATGAAGTGACATCTTCGTCGCCATTTTTAGATAAAATTACTTTTAAGGACCGGAGAGTATCATTTTAGTGATTTTGGGCACGGTGTTTGTCTCGTTATGCGTTGATCAGTTCCTGTGCAGACGACCCCTGTGTAGAGACAGACATGAAGTAGATTTTTTCCTGATTGTCAAATCTCGGATGGGATGATAATGACAATAAGACTAGCCAGCTTATACACGAAAAGTTGTGTATTGTTGAAATGACGACCAGGCTACATTTGGCGCTCCGAGAAGCCATCGAGACCGGCTTCGTTGTCAGTGTTTCTGTCATACATGCACCTACAGTCTTTCAGCCCTCGTTTCCTCCCATCCCCCATTAGCCCTTCCGCTCCGGCTTTACACACTCCGAAACAATGTTGCCATTAAGTGATACATAATGTCCAATCGAGTTACAAGTTGCAACAGTGTTGCAATAGCCTCTGTATATCAACACATGTCTGCAATATTCACGAGTCGTTCTTGGGCTATAGGATACGTTTTCATGCGTTGTAGGCTATTTGGGTACACGTTTTTGAAGGGCTGTTCATTTTGTGTAATGCCTTTCTTAGCCTAAAGTTGTGGGTTCTTTCAAAGCACAACTCTATATTTCTTGCATACTCATATTATTGTTATTATTATTCCACCCGCTCTATTGCTTAAAATGATTAAGCTATTAACACTCAGCGCGCCGGAAATCTATAACTACTAGAATGGCCATGACGGTCAGTTGTTATTTCAACTGTGTAAATATTCCATAATCAGTGGCGACACGTCATTCAGGGGAGGGGGGGCAGAGCCTGTTTTTGCCTGTTTTGCATGTTCTTTTGCCATTAATACGTGTCACATATCAGTTTGCAAACAATGTAAAAAAAAAATATATATATATATATATAATATTGAGTTAATAAAGCACATACAAACATGGTCTCTTTTTTGCTTTCTTGAATAAGGCAGCTCCAAAATGCAGGTGTTTCAGCCTAGCTCAGTGCTTTCTGTGGTGGTGGGGCAGCCAGCGGAAAATACAGAGCATAGGGGTTGGTAATGTTCTCTATTTGCGCCGTGATTGGCTCAGTGTTCTGTCACTCATGGGTACACTACACCACTGCAAATTCTACAGGGAGAGCTCGAAAATTCAAGCCCCTTGGGTCCTGCCATAGAGTTACATTAGAAGTGCCCATCCAAGAAGGCTCAAGGTCATTGGCCACAGATAAAAATGTCAAATCACGTTTTATCTACCCTAGCTTTGATTGGACTGATCATGTCAACATCATACTTTCAAAATCTTAGCTAGACAAGCAGTCATCATCATGAATCAAGTCGACAATCTACTGGCAAGTCCTTTTCAATCCTTGTCATATGAAGAGAAATTATAGATAAAAGGTATCGGTGCTCATCGGCCATTGGACATAAACATTACACAAGTCGGAAATCGCAAATTCAACAATGAGTGGTTTGGAAGGAAGCAGTGGCTAACTGCAAGCATCTCTGTAGCTCAATTGGTAGAGCATGGCGCTTGTAATGCCAGGGTTGTGGGTTCGATCCCCGGGACCACCCATACGTAAAAATGTATGCACACATGACTGTAAGTCGCTTTGGATAAAAGCGTCTGCTAAATGGCATATTATTATTATTATTATTATATCTCAAAGCAATCACTATTTTGCTTCCCATGCCTGCTATTCAATGGAGAGGGTGTGTGGTCCAAGTCTGGGTTTAAGGATTTAAAACATAATAATATAATATAAAACCTAATATTAGATAAAGGGAACATACGTGAACAATTAACACAACAATTACATATTTATTTCATAAACAAAGTTATGCAACACCCAATTCCCCAGTGTGAAAAAGTAATTGCCGCCTTACACTCAATAACTGGTTGTGCCACCATTAGCTGCAATGACTCCAACCAAATGCTTCCTGTAGTTGTTGATCAGTCTCTCACGTCGCTGTGGAGGAAATTTGGGCCACTCTTCCATGCAGAACTGCTTTAACTCAGTGACGTGTGGGTTTTCAAGCATGAACTGCTCGTTTCAAGTCCTGCCACATCTCAATTGGGATTAGGTCTGGACTTTGACTAGGCCATTCCAAAACTTCCAATTTGTTGCTTTTTAACAATTTTCATGTAGACTTGATTGTGTGTTTTGGATCATTGTCTTGCTGCATGACCCAGCTGCGCTTCAGCTTCAGCTCACAGATGGATGGTCTGACATTCTCCTGTAGAATTCTCTGATACAGAGCAGAATTCATGGTTCCTTCTATTAAGGCAAGTCGTCCAGGTCCTGAGGCAGCAAAGCATCCCCAAACCATCACACCACCACCACCATGCTTGACCTTTGGTATGATGTTCTTACTGTGGAATGCAGTGTTTGGTTTTCGCCAGGCATAATGGGACCCATCTTGTCCAAAAAGTTGACTCAAGTTTGCCAAAAAGCACCTGGATGATCATCAAGACTCTTGGAAGAATGTTTTATGGACAGATGATTCAAAAGTATAACTTTTTGGACGACATGGTTCCAGTAATGCCTGGCGAAAACCAAACTCTGCATTCCACAGTAAGAACATCATACCAAAGGTCAAGTGTGGTGGTGTGATGGTTTGGGGATGCTTTGCTGCCTCAGGACCTGGACGACTTGCCTTAATAGAAGGAACCATGAATTCTGCTCTGTATCAGATAATTCTACAGGAGAATGTCAGACCATCTGTCTGTGAACTGAATCTAACACTTCAGCAACTTTGTGCAGGGAGAGTGAGAGTGCTTAAAGTGTTTTTTGCAGACCTATCCTCGTTTTCCACCTTTTTCACGGGCTCATCCAAAAGACTCTCCGCTCTTGCGGAATCAACGAACAGACGGGTCCCCAGGCCACCGGGTACACAATGGAACTTCAAAAGCAGAACTGTCAATGCAGTGTGGGAGGACCATGAGGCACTGGCCCAATGCATGGAGGACATCCACACGCAGCCTGGATGGGATGAGATCACCATCAGCAAGGCTTATGGCCTGTCCATGAAACTCAACGATCCCACATTTCTGCAACTGCTCAAGTTATTTTCCTTGGTAATGCAGCGGTGGATGTTTTGTACAACACAATGCAGAAACAAACCATTGGTGCAGCAGGAATCGTCGGAGCAATCAACAACTTCAAGGCGAACGTTCAAAACATTCGCGAGCAAACTAATGCACTGACCAAAGGACATGTTGATGCCACTGAACCAAGGCAGAGAAACCTTAACACTGCACCCATGATGAATGAGGCATGCGAAACAATCGCTGCTCATGTGCAAGAAAGGTTTTCTGAAAGTGACCAGTTAATTGCAGCAAAGTTGGACAGCTCATTTCCCCCCCAGTATGGACATTCCTTTCCGACCGCAGAACTCCAGTGTGCTACCAAGCAATGGCCTGTGGGCAACCAGGAGAAGTTGAAAAACTGAGATGTCCCCTCTCTACCGGCATTCCTGAACTGCACACTGGAAAGAGAGCACTTTCTTTATTGAAATCACTCTACGAGAACAACCTGCAGGAGGCCTTGTCTGAGACGGTCTCTCTTCTCAAAATCATCATCACCACTCCGATGACAACCGCAGAGTCAGAAAGAAAAGGTTCCACCCTTAAAAGGATAAAAACCTTCACACGTAACTCCATGGGCCAGAAAAGGTTAAATGCATTGGCCATGCTGTCAATCCAGTATGACTTCATCCAGAGAGTGCCAGACTTTGATGATAAAGTAATTGAGAAGTTTTCCCACAAGAAGGACCGCCGTGCCAACTTCCTGTTCAAGTGAGCACAGCACAACAATATGTCTAGTATGCTGCTGCATAAGTGATGTAATATGCCAGGGAGATGTGTATACTGTAGCTAAGAAAGTAATACTAAGTGTATGTTGTGTAGTAAGCAGTTAGTAGCCTATGTGTCTCACTCACCCTAAGAATGTGGTCCCTTTCCCCCTTAGAACTTAGCCTACTGTTCTGACTTGGTGGTGCACATGCAGCCTATAGCCTGTTTTAGAGAAATGTCATCATCAAATATTGTAAGAGCTTTCATTGTCTGCTTATGTGCCCCCATTATTGATCCTACGGTTCTGACTTGGTGTACAGGGAGAACACTGTAAGAACGGCCCATGTTCTGAATTATGTCGCTGTCCATTTCAAAATTGCTGAACGAATAGGCAGCATATAGGCTACATCCGTCTCAGCTCGCTCATGTCTTAATCGAAATTACGGCTTGCCTCTTAACCGCTTATCGTCATATATGCCATAGTTTGGACATCTGCATTGTTATATTGCTTATATAGGTCTCTCATTAGTATCTTATTAATAATTTTAGGCAATGTTAGAATTATGCATTTAATTGTTTTTCTTACTTTGTGTGTTATAATTAGCTCTGGTGCTTTTCTCCACGAGGAGGGTGGTAAGTTACAGACCCAACAACATTAAATTATAGTATCCCCTCCTCGTAACCATGTTTGCCAGTGACAGTCTCTTCCCATTCAAATATTTTTGTTCAACAAAAAGTTCAGTAATAGACCGATGTAATTCCAGTTCATATTGTGAGGGTTATTTTGTTTGCACAATGCGTAGTCAGTGCGTCTGTATATTGTCTATACAAGTGGATCCTCGTGATTTGTATTGTCCTTCCTTTTTAGACCACATAGGCCTAATAAAATATGTCAAATGGTAGGCTAACCGCTGAGTCTGGGTCTCTCTTTCTCTCTCTGTGGTGACTTAAAGAAGAGTAATGTTAAGGCCTCAACATCTTGCTGAATTTCTGTCGCTGCCCTTTTCGAAATTGCAGAACGAATACGCCTACCTCATCGCAGCTCGTTTGCTTGCACTTGCTTATACTTAGAGCTAAGTGTTAATTATATAAGAACAAACATTATGAATTTACTGAACATAAATCTAATGATGTTTGTGTATGGTTCAAAAGTCAAAACTCATGTGGACATTCATTATTATTGAAGGACAATGCGGTTCTTATCCAGTTACACAAATCCACAACGAGTCAGTAGAAACCACATTTATTTAAGCAAGTCAGCCATAAGCTTCACTCTCGGGACAGCTTTATGAAGACCCTAAAGGTTTGTGGGCACCGTTTGTCACCATTATAGTGCATTTCATGTATTGTTTAGAGTTGTGTAGTGACTTCGCTGGCATGCATCTAAAGAAATTGGTTGTTTGCCCCACCAAGATTGACATGCTAAAATCGCCACTGTCCATAATAAATAATAAATTGCTAAATGAATGCTTTTATTGTGTTAAAATAGGTCATAAGAAACCTCAGGACACCAAATGTACATTGTAATCAGTCAGAAAATGTATTGATTGATCCAGAAGTGCATAGACTTGAGTGTATTTTCTGACTTTAAGACAACAGTTGCCTGCCCATCTAGCCCGTCCAAACTACACCGAAACTATATTGAAACTAATTTCACACATATTATAATAATAACAGATGTGGCCTAAAGAAAATATTAAATTGACAATAGTCTGATGGGTTACAATATTATCAATTGAGAATGAAGAGACTGATGACCAGTGCACCAGCACATTGTGCATTGACAAACGCACCAGTGCATTGGAAAAGAAGGGACCAGAGCTTACCAAATAGCACCTTCCCTATCAGTCTACAGAGGTCCATGCAGGCCAGACGTTTTGATTGCTATACACTATCGGAAAGAGCAGATTCCAAGGTTTCTAATTAAACTATTTTTGCCAAACAACTCTACAAATTGTGCACACTGTCTCTGTTTCAAAGTATTACTTTTTCCTAGAACAACCGAGGCTCCATACACATGCGTTCCTCATGTGAGTACTGGCGACAATCAGCAATAACCATTTGGGAAAACTATCATTTCTATTTTCTAATGTATATTCCATTACATTTTTACTGTAAAATATATGTTTTGACTGTGTTAGGGCAGGGGAATATACAGTGGGGAAAAAAAGTATTTAGTCAGCCACCAATTGTGCAAGTTCTCCCACTTAAAAAGATGAGAGAGGCCTGTAATTTTCATCATAGGTACACGTCAACTATGACAGACAATCCAGAAAATCACATTGTAGGATTTTTTATGAATTTATTTGCAAATTATGGTGGAAAATAAGTATTTGGTCAATAACAAAAGTTTCTCAATACTTTGTTATATACCCTTTGTTGGCAATGACACAGGTCAAACGTTTTCTGTAAGTCTTCACAAGGTTTTCACACACTGTTGCTGGTATTTTGGCCCATTCCTCCATGCAGATCTCCTCTAGAGCAGTGATGTTTTGGGGCTGTCGCTGGGCAACACGGACTTTCAACTCCCTCCAAAGATTTTCTATGGGGTTGAGATCTGGAGACTGGCTAGGCCACTCCAGGACCTTGAAATGCTTCTTACGAAGCCAGGCGGTGTGTTTGGGATCATTGTCATGCTGAAAGACCCAGCCACGTTTCATCTTCAATGCCCTTGCTGATGGAAGGAGGTTTTCACTCAAAATCTCACGATACATGGCCCCATTCATTCTTTCCTTTACATGGATCAGTCGTCCTGGTCCCTTTGCAGAAAAACAGCCCCAAAGCATGATGTTTCCACCCCCATGCTTCACAGTAGGTATGGTGTTCTTTGGATGCAACTCAGCATTCTTTGTCCTCCAAACACGACGACTTGAGTTTTTACCAAAAAGTTCTATTTTGGTTTAATCTGACCATATGACATTCTCCCAATCCTCTTCTGGATCATTCAAATGCACTCTAGCAAACTTCAGACGGGCCTGGGCATGTACTGGCTTAAGCAGGGGGACACGTCTGGCACTGCAGGATTTGAGTCCCTGGCGGCGTAGTGTGTTACTGATGGTAGGCTTTGTTACTTTGGTCCCAGCTCTCTGCAGGTCATTCACTAGGTCCCCCCGTGGGGTTCTGGGATTTTTGCTCACCGTTCTTGTGATCATTTTGAACCCACGGGGTGAGATCTTGCGTGGAGCCCCAGATCGAGGGAGATTATCAGTGGTCTTGTATGTCTTCCATTTCCTAATAATTGCTCCCACAGTTGATTTCTTCAAACCAAGCTGCTTACCTATTGCAGATTCAGTATTCCCAGCCTGATGCAGGTCTACAATTTTGTTTCTGGTGTCCTTTGACAGCTCTTTGGTCTTGGCCATAGTGGAGTTTGGAGTGTGACTGTTTGAGGTTGTGGACAGGTGTCTTTTATACTGATAACAAGTTCAAACAGGTGCCATTAATACAGGTAACGAGTGGAGGACAGAGGAGCCTCTTAAAGAAGAAGTTACAGGTCTGTGAGAGCCAGAAATCTTGCTTGTTTGTAGGTGACCAAATACTTATTTTCCACCATAATTTGCAAATAAATTCATTAAAAATCCTACAATGTGATTTTCTGGATATTTTTTTCTCAATTTGTCTGTCATAGTTGACGTGTACCTATGATGAAAATTACAGGCCTCTCTCATCTTTTTAAGTGGGAGAACTTGCACAATTGGTGGCTGACTAAATACTTTTTTTCCCCACTGTAAGTCTGCTAAATGAACAATTTGATTTCGTAGCCTTTGCTATAAAACACAGATTAATACAACTCAAAACATGCTATTCTCTTCTGTTCTTTTGAAATAAATTGTCTTTTATCATGTTTTTTTTAATGTACTTCCTAAACAGAATATTAATGGCTTTTTATAATATTTATACTTTTTCACCTATAACCATTTAACGTTTGCATAAATTAACATTGGTTTGAATGAGAACCATAGGACTACAGAGGTAGCTATTCAAAATGGTCCTGCTCCTTTGCCAATTAAGCTATAAGACCAAATTAAAAATGTTCAGGCTATCCTAATTCTTTAAAATCCTTATCAACTATAACTATAAATGTGCATAAATTAGCATAAAATTACTCACCAACAGTAACTCTTGAAACGTTCAAGCTAGATACGCCAAACCAAATTTCTCATGTTCAGGCTATCCTAATTTTAAATTCTTTAAAATCTTTTTCATTTATAACTATTCACTTTTGCATAAATTAGCATAACCTATCCCACCAACAGTAACTATTTAACCGATCAAGCTAGAGACACCAAACCAACTTTCACATGTTCAGGCTATCATATCTTATCCTATCAATCATTCAAGCAGTCTTTCCATCTACCTACATTTTCAACTATAACCAGTCACTACCACTACTATAACCATAAATACTTTAAAACAAGCTAGCAAGCACACCACATTTTCTTCAGGAAATGTATTTTTCTAGTTTAGCTTGAGCTTGATCACTTCTAGGATATATATAGCTGTTTTTGCAGCATAGGTATCTCTCTTGGCCACACTGAGTCAGTCCCACCATCGATCCAGGTTAATAATGTTTACATTTCAAAAGGCGTGGGCCCTGACATTCTAAAGCAGTAGTCGGTAATCGTTGTATCTTTACCGTGACGCCTGCTTTCACACACTGGGATTGTCTGTTACATAACTGGCTCGATGTTGTCGACTGAATGAAGTCTAGGCTAGCCTACAACCGATTGGTTGGTCGGTGTGACAGCGCCTCCCACGCTTGGTTCACGGCAGTTTACTATTGCACTTAGGTGCGTTTGTTTCAGTTCGCCGGGTGCACCGAGTAGGCGGAGTTTGCTTTCAAGGCCAATAGAATGGTCTCAAATGCACACACTCTGCCTACCCAGCGTTACGGGCCAGCTGCATAGATGGGAGGGACTCAGCATATGTTATAATGTGGTTATTAATGGTCTATAATAACAAGGTGTTCATTTGTTTCCGCAGAGAAAGAGAAAACGCACTGTGGAAGACTTCAACCAGTTTTGCACCTTTGTGTTGGCCTATGCTGGATACATCCCTTATCAAACAGAGGTAGGTTGATAAAACACTGTTTTTTCCTGTTCAAGTAAGACTGAGATGTAGCTTATTAACACCAAATTGCTCTTGTAATTAATTGATGTCTTATTGTTTCTACACTGAAAAAATATATAAACGCAACATGTAAAGTGTTGGTCCCATGTTTCATGAGCTGAAATAAAAATCCCAGAAATGTTCCATACGCACAAAAAGCTAATTTCTCTCAAATTCTGTGCACAAATTTGTTTAAATCCCTGTTAGTGATAATTTCTCCTTTGCCAAGATAATCCATCCACCTGACAGGTGTGGCATATCAAGAATCTGATTAAACAGCATGATCATTACACAGGTGCACCTTGTGCTGGGGACAATAAAAGGCCACTCTAAAGTGAGCAGTTTTGTCACACAACACAATGCCACACATGTTTTGAGGGAGCGTAAAATTGGCATGCTGACTGCAGGAATGTCCACCAGAGCTGTTGCCAGAGAATTCAAAGTTCATTTCTATACGTCGTTTTAGAGAATTTGGCAGTGCGTCCAACCGGCCTCACAACCGCAGACCATGTGTATGGCGTCATGTTTGCGAGCAGTTTGCTGATGTGAACATTGTGAACAGAGTGCCCCATGGTGCCGGTGGGTTATGGTATGGGTAGGCATAAGCTACGACGAACATAATTGCATTTGATCGATGGCAATTTGAATGCACAGGGATTCCGGATTCCATGAAGAGATCCTGATGCCCATGGTTGTGCCACTCATCCGCTGCCATCACCTCATGTTTCAGCATGATAATGCACGGCCCCATGTCGCAAGGATCTGTACACAGTTCCTGGAAACTGAAAATGTCCCAGTTCTTCTATGGCCTGCATACTCACCCATTGATCACGTTTGGGATGCTCTGGGTCAACGTGTACAACAGTGTGTTCCCGCCAATATCCAGCAACTTCGCACAGCCATTGAAGAGGAGTGGGACAACATTCCACGGGCCACAATCAACAGCCTGATCAACTCTATGCGAAGGAGATGTGTTGCGCTGCATGAGGCAAATGGTGGTCACACCAGATACTGACTGGTTTTCTTATCCACGCCCCTACCTTTTTTGTAAGGTATCTGTGACCAACAGATGCATGTCTGTATGCCCAGTCATGTGAAATCCATAGATGAGGGCCTAATCAATTTATTTCAATTGACTGATTTCCTTATATGAACTGTAACTCAGTAAAATCTTTGAAATTGTTGCATGTTGCGTTTTATATTTTTGATCAGTATATTTCTGTTGAATAAGGTCTCCAGTTCTGCTGTTGTGTTTACATGGTGATGTATCCCCTTGTAGGAGTGGTGGTGTAGTGAAAGCAAGCCCAGTGACAGCAACCCCTGCAGCACCAGCCACAGTACCAGTCCATGGAGCTACCAGTCCTCTCCTAACTCAGCCTGTGGCTCCTCCGCTCAGAGCCAGAAGGAGAAAGGGAAGGAGGTGAAGAGGAGGAGGTCAGACAAGAAACCAGCCGGGCCTGGCCAGGGGGAGAAGAAGCCTAGAGGAGGAAGTGCCAAAAAGTCTCCCAATACGAAACAGACTGCCCCTAGATCAACAGTCAGCAGAACGCCAGAGCTCCATGAGCAGCACCAGCCCCAGTCTGGACGGACCAACCACAACAGCTGTCCGACTGACAACAAAACACATACTCTGACAGTTCCCAAACGTGACCATGACTGTAAACTTCCCCAATCTTCCCTGACTCAACTCTTCCCTGATGCCACCCCCAGCAGCTCTCTGTCTGTCCACAGGCACAAGACCAACACCGGTCAGACAGACACACCAGACCCCAACGGGTCAGCTGGGAAGACGAGTGACGCTACAACCCTTCAGAAGACAGGAAGTGACGAACTTGAACAGGAAGTGACAGAGCAGCCTGTTGACATGACAACAACAAGCTATGAGACGGAGAGGAGCAGTCCTCACAGGCCAGGAGACAGAGAAAAGAAGAGAAGAAAGGAAGAGGAGAATGGGGCGAGGGATAGCTGGGAGGGGTCTGGGAGTGAAGGAGGGATAGACAGGGGTCAGAGGTCAGATATCCTGAGGATGGTGATGGACAGGAGGTTGAGAGATCAGCTAGCTGAAGACCAGGAGACAGGCTACCACACAGAGGAGGGCAGCAGCCCCGACCAGGACCAGGACCATGGAGGGAGCCACTACCAGACAGACCAGGGAGGGAGCGATGGAGAGGACACATCTGCAGACAACAGCAAGATGGAGGGTGAGTAAAGAGGAACCCCACCTGAGACTTAAGATGCATCCCAAATGGCACGCTCTCCTCTGTAGCACTAATTTTGACCAGGGCCCATATTCCCTATATAGTGAACTACTTTTGACCAGGACCCTAGTAGGGCTCTAGTCAAAAGTAATAGGGAACAGCGAGCCGTTTTGGTCGCAGCTCACTCATTACCTCATCACTATCTACAACCATCATTGCTAGTTTAAAACAGAGGCTGTGTTTAATATAACATCTCTCTTCTATTTTTCTCTTCTCAGATGAGGACGACTCATGGGACCTGATCACCTGTTTCTGCCTGAAGCCGTTCGCGGGTCGGCCCATGATAGAGTGTAGTGAGTGTGGCACCTGGGTGCACCTGTCCTGCGCTAAGATCCGCCGCACCCACGTTCCTGAAGTCTTCACCTGCCAGCCCTGCCGAGATGCCAAGACCAACATCAGACGCTCCAACCGGGCGCGGATCGCCCCCCGCAAACGCTTCAGCGACTAGAGAGCACCAGCTGGTTCATTGGCTGCGTCCCAACTGGCGGCAGGTAGCCTAGCGGCTAAGAGCATTGGGCCAGTAACCAAAAGGTCACTGGTTCAAATCCCCAAGGTGGAAAAATCCCCAACAACAACTGCTCCCCGGGCACTGATGATGTTGATTAAGGCAGCCGCCCGCACCTCTCTGATTCAGAGGGGTTGGGTTAAATGCAGAAGACACATTTCGGTTGAATGCATTCAGTGTAACTGACTAGGTATCCCCTTTCCTATTCCGTATATAGTGAACTACTTTTGACCAGAGCCATATGTAGGGAATAGGGTGCCATTTGGGACGTTGACCACTAGTGAGCATCAAGTTCTTTGCTGGTCCATTCTGCCACTCTGCACAAACCACCTCCAGTCACCAGGGTTGTGTTCAGTAAGACACACAGTAAACGTAAATTAACTTTTGTTATTGAATAAGTCCAGGTAGTCCTCCCTGTTTCAGTCATTTTTCTTCCGTTTTGTGCCTAATGAACACGACCCAGGACACTGCCATCAGCAACCAAGCCATGAGTCTACGGTCGTGTTCCCCTGCTCAGACGTTGCATTCATCAACGAATGGTTGCGTGCCACATCCTCAACTGTGCCGTCGGCAACAATTGTTATAACATATGATGTGGCTAGCTAATACTTAAAAAACCTATACAGGCATTGTAAGATCCAATCACTCTCTCCAGAACAGTACAATGTCCATGCATTCACAGACAATCATGTCTTCTCAGGAAGGAATGAGGGGCTACAGGAGAGAGAAAGAGGGAATGGGCGGGATGGAGTGAGGGCAGGGGTGAAAGAGGGATGTGGTTGGTAAGTCTGCTGTTACTGTTGTGGTGAGAACATAACATCTTCTCACATGCTAATCTCATTTACCCCCACCCCTCCCTTCATCCATCCCTTTTATCCCTCCAGGCTCCATCCATCCATCCCCTTATCCCTCCAGGCTCCATCCACCCCTCCCTTCATCCCCTTATCCCTCCAGGCTCCATCCACCCCTCCCTCCCTTCATCCATCCCTTTATCCCTCCAGGCTCCATCCACCCCTCCCTTCATCCATCTCTTCCTCCCTCCCTCCCTCCATCCACCCATCTCTTCATTGGTACATCACTGAACCTAAGGGCTTGCCTTGGCTGATCTACACTAGTATGTTCAATTCACTACTTAGGATTGTACTATGTAAGGAATAGGGTGCCATTTGAGACACATGGACAGGTTTCTGGGGACTGCTTTCTCAAAATATGCATTTTTAGTTTGTTCCACAGTTGTCATTTAAGATGTAAAAGATTGTCTCTTCCAAACACGTTATGTATGTACACTGAGTGTACAAAGCATTAAGAACACTTTCCTAATATTGAGTTGCCTCAATTCATCAGGGTATGGACTCTACAGGGTGTCGAAAGCGTTCCACAGGGATGCTGGCCCATGTTCACTCCAATGCTTCCCACAGTTGTGTCAAGTTGGCTGGATGTCCTTTGGGTGGTGGACCATTCTTGATACACACGGGAAACTGTTGAGCGTGAAAACCCAGCAGTGTTGCAGTTCTTGACACAAATCGGTGCGCCTGGCACCTACTACCATACCCCGTTCAAAAGCACTTACAGCTTTTGTTTTTCCCCATTCACCCTCTGAATGGCACACATACACAATCCAGGCATAAAAAATAATTATTTAACCTGTCTCCTCCCCTTCATCTACACTGATTGAAGTGGATTTAACAAGTGACATTAATAAGGAATCATGAGCAGGTGTTCATAATGCTTTGTACACTGAATATCAGATGGTAACCCTTTAGTAAGATGTAAATAGTTTGCTTTTTTTAGGAGTTGTTTATTATGTGACACATGCAGTAATAAAGGTCAAGGACTAACTCCTTAGTCTCATCGTTGTTCTGTACTGTTTACATAATTACATTATTTTCACAAGTACCTTGTACACAACATCAGTCACCAGACCAAATAATGTGGTTTTGTCTTGTTTTAATGGAGCAAAGCATCACCATCATTAAGCATGTATTCTTCCAGTGTCTATTTAAGCAACCGATCTCTAGCACAACTACACTATGTTCCTGTCAGCTGCCACACTACTGTTGATCATATAGGTTGATCTCTGCACACATGAAATCAGCTCCAGGTATCTGAGATGTCTTAAGGCAGGCATGGTTTATTTACATTCAAATATTTGACAGTAAAGTAATAGGTTCAAATCTCCAAGCCTGCCTGTCAAAAGCAGAAGGTTCCTCTACCACTTATCTATGCAGTCGCCATAGCCCTTTACCACTTACCCTACCCTACCCAGACCTTCACCACAGACACAACCACAGTTTGTCTCGGGACTTCTATATCTGACATCCTGAACCAGCTAGCCACTCCCCTGTTTGTTAACAGTGTCCAGGCATGCTAGCTACTTCTCCGGCCTCATGGCTGGTATGTCCAGTCTGTCTCTGACGTAGGGCAGGACAGCGTCGGTGTAGAACATCTCCAGCTTGGCCAGGGTGTCGTCCCAGAACGCAGGGTCAAAGGTCACAGGGATGATGGCTGTTTCCTTCAGGGTGAACACCACTAGGTCAGCCTGGGTTAACCCCGTCACCGCCAGCTGGCACTGGATCTGGGTGTAGTAGCTGTGGTCTGGTTTCAGATGGTACCTCACCTGTAGAGAAAAAATTATTGGGAAGCGCTGCTAGAATACACTAGTAGATAGATCTTTGTAGATTGAAGGTGCTCTTTGGTTAAGGGGTTAACTGGTCATCAAAAAATCTTGGCGTACAATGATACAACAAACATCATGTCCTAACTAACCTGTCCCACCTCCTCCCCCTGGTCCTGTATCGTCAGGCAGAAGGCTGGGTCCTCTCTACAGGCCTGGGCTACAGTGTTCTGACGGTGCTTGTAGGGACACTTGACCTCCAGGCAGAGCAGCCGTTGGCCGGTCCTCTGGTCCTCTACGATGCCGTCAGGGCTGCCTGCTAGCCAGGGGTGCTGGGGGTCGATGAACAGGCCACACTCCTGCACCCTCACCACCCGGCCCAGGGCCTTGCTCTTGAGGCTCTGATATCTGAGAATAGATGAGATGAGATTGTAATTTATTAATCTCTGAGGGGAAATGAGTTTGTCATCTTTACAGCCATAGAAAACACAGGTGGTTGGTGGACCTTAATTGGGGAGGACGGGCTTGTGGTAATGACTGGAGTGGAATGGGTGGATTGATATGAAATACATCAGACATGGTTTGATGCCATTCCATTTGCTCCGTTCCAGCCATTTATGAGCCGTCCTCCCTATTTAAAACAATTGCAGGACAATTACAGTAAATACATAAATGGTACCTCCGCACGGCCTCGGCCTCCCGCTCGATGCCCCAGGTCATGGCGCGGGTTTTGATGTTGGGGCCGCAGCCGGTGATTGCGGCCAGATAGGAAGCGGGTGGGGTCTGGCTCTGGCCGGTGACGAAGCGGCTGTGGGCGAGGCGGTGAGCCACGGACGCTGTGATGCGGTTTTTACGCCAGGAGAACCAGCTGGGGTTCTCTCTCTGGCCCCGGGTCTGGAGCTCCACCGCCTCCACAACACCACCCTCCATCTTCTGCCCTAACCCCAGGGGCAGGGCTTCGGGCCTGGGGGGAGAGACCATGGAGCTCCCCCCAACCTGGTTGGTCCTGGGGGGAGAGACCACAGGCTTACCCCTGACCTGGCTGCACTTGACAGGGCTATGACTATGCTGATGGGCCTCAGGTTTCTTCTCTGAAATGTCAGGATGATATCTGACAGTAGGGATGTTCTTTTTGGCGTAACGTGTATCTGTGGTCTTTGCTCCTGCTCCCCTGGTCTGACTGGCTGTGGCTCTGGTGGTCCCTGAGCCTGGGGTCTTCACAGTGGCTGACCACCCTGCTGAGTCCCCTGAGCCATCAGAGGGGGTTAGGGTGGAACCTTTGTTGATATGCATCTGTGTTGGGGGGCTCTTTGAGGCAGAAGCAACCACTGAGCTGTCAGGGTGAGAGCCATCCTGGCTTGTCTTGGTGGTAGTCATTGTTCCGCGAGTTTCAACAAGTTAGAAGGATTCTGTAAATTTAAAACAAAATAGAGCAGTAAGATACTTTTGCATATAAAACATGTATATGTCCTATTCCTAAAGCTGTGTGTGTGTGTACCTAAAATCCCAACAAGGATAGTAAAACAAGGAAAATTCTCCCTCGTGGAGACATTTCCCACATCCCCATGAGGACAAAGGCTATTTTAATCTTAGGGGTTAGGTTTAAGGTTACAATTACAGTTAGAATTTGGGTTTGGGTAAGGGGTTAGGTGCTTAGGTTTGGGTTACAGGTTAGGGTAAAGGTTAGGTTTAGGGAAAATTGGATTTTGAATGGAAATTAATTTTAGGTCCCCACGAGGATAGAAGAACATACAGTGTGTGTGTGGCACGGGCTAGCAGGTGTGTTGGTGGTTTACTGTTCTTACTAACAGATTACAGTCTGTCTGTAACTAATGATACCCATTTAATCTGTCTCCTGCTACCTCTCTCTCTCCCTCTCCCTCCCTCCTTCTGAGTCTGTATGTGGTGACTGAGTAATCAATTTACAACGTAAAGTGCTTGTGAACCTCTTTTACAGTGCCCCTCCACTGCCCAGTTCACAGATCAGTAAATGTCCCGTAGCAGGTGGTGTACAGTGGGGGTTAAACTAGGGCTATGTAATGGGGAATGCATTCCCTGAACTGAACAGTTCTGCAGGTCAGGGATCAGGGTTCACATCACCGTCGGCACGTGAGGAGACTACTGGTAGGCTGTGTCCCAACTGGCACCCTACTCCCTTTATAGTGCACTACTTTTGATCAGGGCCTATAGGGCTCTGGTCAAAATTAGTGCACTATAACATTATAGGGTGCCACTTGGGACGCAAAGAAGAATTTCTGCAGTTGAGGGGCTGACTCTCGAGTCCTGATGGCTCCAATCTAAACCGAAACTACCAAACAAGCAACAAACCTACTTCTATGCAAGGTAGGTAATGGACATGAGACACTCACCCTATAGCAAGCTGGCCAGACATGAGAGGTATGCACGGAGGTACCGAGAGAGTCAATCTACATCTGCATACTGAGTAATTCTGAGTTGAGAGAACATGGAGATCACAACGGAGGTATTTAAACCCCCTATCCTGTGACTTCAGCTGTCCTCAGAACAACAGTGTATTAGGAGGCCAACCCCTAACAGAGGCCTGTGTCCCAAATGGCACCCTATTCCCAATATAGAGGGCCCTGGTCAAAAGTAGTGCACTACGTTAGAGAATAGGGTGCCATTTGGAACACACCCAGAAACTGGGAGGATTTGCTCTATCCCTGATAGAGAACAAGATTATGGGAGGGGTTTGGAGGGTCTTTGTTGACATACTCCAAATGTCTGTGTTTGTTTGATCATTACGAGCCTCATTGACTTTATCTTCTGTTCAACTGTCTGTTTGCTGCTCTAATGGTCTTCTGTTTTTGCTTAGCTCCCCCCGCCCACTAAACATAAAACTTACTGGATAGTATTTCTGAAGTGTTTGAGAGAAGGGTAAGGGTCCTTCAGTGAGGGTTCAGAAGCAGACGTACAAACGAACCCTACTAAAAACATGACCAAAGTCTAACATTAAGACACTGTTTACAGGATCATCTAGGGACTAATAGGGGTAGCAGGTTTTGAATATAGTATAGACTGAGTAGTAGTAGACTTAGTGGAGTTAATTTCCTGGGAGTGATCTTTCAGATTTCATCCGAAATGGCACCCTATTCCCTTTATAACGCTCTACTTTTTGACTAGAGCCCTTTGTAGGTAATAGGGTGCCATTTGGGACACAGCCATATTTGATCCCTTCCCCCTATGTAGTTGTCCAGACCAGGCAGGGGAGCCGGTGAGGCAAAATCATGTGTGGAGTTAGACTAATAATAACTAAGAGACACACACCGAGTAGCACAGGGGCTTAGGCCACGTTCACGTCGTCATGGAGGAACGACTAGGAGCGTTCACGTGCTCAGAGCTTTGGAAGGAACGCAATAACTATTCTCACCATTGACAGCCGAAATCCCGGCCATGTTTGTTGCCTCTTTCAGTGGTGCATGACGTCAGAGTTCAGCATGTGGGAAAGATCGGGGTCCAGAGGTCATCCCTAAGTTTCCTAGTTGTAATTACAAGTTGGAAGTGCGTTCGCGTGCATTTTTCCCAGTAGGAAGGTCGTATTTACGAGTTCCCAACATGACGTGAACATGGCATTAGGCTGCCTGCCACACACACACACACACACACACACACACCGTGTGAGCTGTTGGTCAGCTCAACTCTCTCCTTCTCCGGACTAGCTCAGCTCACCCATCCACTCAAGCTCTTACATCAAATGCGGACCGCATTACCTCCCGTGAGAATTTTCTTTGGTTATTGTCACTGATGTGTATATCTGCCCCCAAGCAGACACCGTGACGGCTCTTACGGAACTACACTGGACTTTGTGCAAACTAGAAACCGCATATCCTGAGGCCGCATTTATTGTACCTGGGGACATTAATAAAGGAAATATGAGGAAAACGCTCCCAAAATTCTATCAACACATCTCCTGTGCTACATGCAGGGAGAACATGCTTGACCATTGTCACTTTCCCTTCCGGGATGGCTACAAGGCCCTCCCCTGCCTTCCCTTCGGCAAATCAGATCACGCCTCCATCCTGCTCCTCCCCGCCTATAGGCAGAAACTTAAGCAGGAAGCACCCGTGGTAAGGACTGTTCAATGTTGGTCTGACCAATCGCAATCTATGCTTGAAGACTATTTTGATCACGCGGACAGGTAAATGTTATGTTCCTACTGTGACAATTAGAACGTATCCAAACCAAAAACTGAAAGCACGAACCACCGCATTTAACCACGTCAAGGTGACTGAACATGGAAGTGTACAAACAGACCAGCTATGACCTCCATAAGGCAATCAGAGGCAAAACGACAGTACGGGGACAAAGTGGAGTCGCAATTCAACGGCTCAGACACGAGACATATATAGTAGGGAAAACCAGCCATATCACGAACACCGACGCCTCGCTCCCGGACAAGCTAAAAACCATCTTCGCCACTTCGAAGAAGGTGGGACCCATGTTGTCCATGTCACCCAAAAAGGTATACTTTTGACTCATCTGTCCATAGAACATTCTTCCAAGTGTCTTTATGATCATCCAGGTGTTTCCAGGTGCATTTTGGCAAGCTTGAGTCCACTTTTTGGATGAGATGGGTCCCATTATGTCTGGCAAAAACCAAACACTGCATTCCACAGTAAGAACCAAATACCAACAGTCAAGCATGGTGGTGGTAGTGTGATGGTTAGGGGATGCTTTGCTGCCTCAGGACCTGGACGACTTGCCTTAATAGAAGGAACAATGAATTCTGCTCTGTATCAGAGAATTCTACAGGAAAATGTCAGGCCATTCGTCTGTGAGCGGAAGCTGAAGTGCAGCTTGGTCATGCAGCAAGACGATGATCCAAAACACACAATCAAGTCTACATGAAAATTAAAAGCAACAAATTTGAAGTTTTGGCCTAGTCAAAGTCCAGACCTAATCAAAATTGAGATGTTGTGGCAGGACTTGAAATGAGCAGTTCATGCTTGAAAACCCACAAATGTCACTGAGTTAAAGCAGTTCTGTATGCAAGAGTGGGCCAAAATTACTCCACAGCGATGTGAGAGACTGATCAACAACTACAAGAATCATTTGGTTGCAGTCATTGCAGCTAAAAGGTGGCACAACCAGTTATTGAGTGTAAGGCGGCAATTACTTTTTCACACAGGGGAATTGGGTGTTGCATAACTTTGTTAATGAAATAAATAAGTATATATATTTTTGGTATTTGTACACTCAGGTTCCCTTTTTTTAGGGGATAGATCAGCTTTAATATCAATCAATCAATTTTATTTTATATAGCCCTTCGTACATCAGCTAATATCTCGAAGTGCTGTACAGAAACCCAGCCTAAAACCCCAAACAGCTAGTAATGCAGGTGTAGAACCACGGTGGCTAGGAAAAACTCCCTAGAAAGGCCAAAACCTAGGAAGAAACCTAGAGAGGAACCAGGCTATGAGGGGTGGCCAGTCCTCTTCTGGCTGTGCCGGGTGGAGGTTATAACAGAACCATGCCAAGATGTTCAAAAATGTTCATAAGTGACAAGCATGGTCAAATAATAATCAGGAATAAATCTCAGTTGGCTTTTCATAGCCGATCATTAAGAGTTGAAAACAGCAGGTCTGGGACAGGTAGGGGTTCCATAACCGCAGGCAGAACAGTTGAAACTGGAATAGCAGCAAGGCCAGGCGGACTGGGGACAGCAAGGAGTCACCACGGCCGGTAGTCCCGACGTATGGTCCTAGGGCTCAGGTCTCTCAGTTGGCTTTTCATAGCCGATCATTAAGAGTTGAAAACAGCAGGTCTGGGACAGGTAGGGGTTTCGTAACCGCAGGCAGAACAGTTGAAACTGGAATAGCAGCAAGGCCAGGCGGACTGGGGACAGCAAGGTGTCAGCATGCCCAGTAGTCCTGACGTATGGTCCTAGGGCTCAGGTTCTCAGAGAGAAAGAGAGAACGAGAGAATTAGAGAGAGCATACTTAAATTCACACAGGACACTGGATAAGACAGGAGAAGTACTCCAGGTATAACCAACTAACCCCAGCCCCCCGACACATAAACTACTGCAGCATAAATACTGGAGGCTGAGACAGGAGCGGTCCGGAGACACTGTGGCCCCATCCGAAGAAACCCCCGGACAGGGCCAAACAGGAAGGATATAACCCCACCCACTCTGCCAAAGCACAGCCCCCGCACCACTAGAGGGATATCCTCAACCACCAACTTACAATCCTGAGACAAGGCCGAGTATAGCCCACAGAGGTCTCCACCACAGCACAAACCAAGGGGGGGCGCCAACCCAGACAGGAAGATCACGTCAGTAACTCAACCCACTCAAGTGACGCACCCCTCCTAGGGACGGCATGAAAGAGCACCAGCAAGCCAGTGACTCAGCCCCT